GGCTGGGTTCACAGCAAGCTGGGGCCTGATGTTCCACACCCCTGATGTAAACAAACCAAACAAAACTTTGGGAAATACCAGTCTTGCAGATGTCTTCTTTATTGGCTCTACTGCCACCACTCAGACCCACCCTGAATTAACCACTATGTAAGATCACGACAATTCCCTTGCCGACCCTAAACTGCAGAGCAAGTTTAAAGGAGCTTTGCCTAGATCACATATGCGTTAGGACTGCACTAGCCCCGGGGGCAGCCAGGCTGCGGACAGAGGGGAAATACCAGTCTTGCAGATGTCTTCTTTATTGGCTCTACTGCCACCACTCAGACCCACCCTGAATTAACCACTATGTAAGATCACGACAATTCCCTTGCCGACCCTAAACTGCAGAGCAAGTTTAAAGGAGCTTTGCCTAGATCACATATGCGTTAGGACTGCACTAGCCCCGGGGGCAGCCAGGCTGCGGACAGAGCCGGCCAGGCGAGCGCTGTCAGCGGACTGAGGAGGGCACAAGCTTTCGGACTCGAGGCTCGTCGCTTCCTTCTTCCGAGACCCGCCCCCCCGCTTTCTCCGCCGGGCGGCACTTGCCCGGCCACGGCGCTGCTCAAGGGCGCGTCCTCCCTCGGGGCCTGGCGCTCCAGACTCACTTAGCTACGGGGCATCCTGCGCTCTTGCGTCAGCGTGACCTCAGAAGGGAAGCGCCGCTAGTCAGAAGGACACGCCGCTAGCCACGTGCTGGGCTTGGTTCTCCCCCACCACACCACAGCCCCGCGCGCGCGCAGGCTGTCTCGTGACAGGATTGCACTCAGAACGCATGCGTGCCCGATGGTTGTTTCCCCCCCCTTTCCCCCCGCCGACTCGTCCCTCTCCCAGGAGCGCGTGGGTATCAAGGGCGCATGTGCGGCTTTGTACAGAGGCGCGCTAGTTCCCACGCTGGGCAGCAACTAGCTGGGGTGCTGAAGGGGCGGAAGGGAAAAGACAAGTGCCTCAACCCTGCACAGGGATGCACAGGGGGATGGGGAAGAGCAGGAACAACTCCGGTGGAGAAGCTTCAGAGGGTTAGTCTGTAACTGGAAAAACAACAGCGACTCTTGCCGCACCTTAGAAACTAATAAATAAATAAATAAAATGTAGATGGTATCATGAGCTTTCCTGGGCACAACCCACTTCTTCCTATAAAATCAACCGTCTGCACTGTACCTTTCAAACGTCAAGTTGCTGGTGCTCTCCAAGCTGCTATAGCAGCAAGCTTCAGAGGGTTAGTCTGTAACTGGAAAAACAACAGCGACTCTTGCCGCACCTTAGAAACTAATAAATAAATAAATAAAATGTAGATGGTATCATGAGCTTTCCTGGGCACAACCCACTTCTTCCTATAAAATCAACCGTCTGCACTGTACCTTTCAAACGTCAAGTTGCTGGTGCTCTCCAAGCTGCTATAGCAGCATCAAATGAAAGAAAAAATATGAAAATAGTGTATACAAAAAGGAAACAGACAAAAGGAAATAGTGGCAGCACCTGCTTTATGTATTTAAATATTACACTTACTGGTAGAGCTGTTGTCCCCCCACCTCTGAAAAGGCAGCCTTAAAGCTTACACTATTGTTTTCTCCTTTTAGAAGCTCTGGCTGGTTTTTTTTCCTTCTTGGTGTCTAATTCTTCCCACTCCTATTCATTCTTATGAACCATATCCTAATTCGGACATTAAAAAAAAAAAGCACTGTACCTTAAATAATCAATATTCCAGAGCGAGAATGACTTTGCTTGCTTGGAAACAGAAGAGTTTATTATTCAGCTTCTTTATAAACTGGGAGGGAAATCCTCCATTAGTTCCTCAACCATGGGGTGCTGTTCCAGGAAGAACTGCTAAGCAGGGATGGCGTCCACCTTTCTACGAGGAGGGGGAGCACCCTATTTGGTAAGCCCTAACCTAGTGAGGAGGGCTTTAAACTAGGTTTGACGGGGACAGGTGAGCAAAGCCCACAGGTAAGTGGAGAACATGGAGACCTGGGAGATGGGTCGGAAATGGGAGGGAGCGTGGGCTACAATGGCAGAGAGAAAGGAGGGTCAGGGCAAAACTGGGAGGCAAGATCAAATCAGGATCTTAGATGCCTATATACAAATGCAAGAAGTATGGAAAAGAAGCAGGAAGAACTGGAAGTGCTAATAAAGAAGTACAATTATGACATTGTTGGCATCACAGAAACTTGGTAGGATAATACACATGATTGGAATGTTTGTATAGAAGGGTACAGCTTGCTCAGGAAGGATAGACAGGGAAAATAGGGAGGAGGTGTTGCCTTATACATTAAAAATGAACACACTTGGAGTGAGATAGAGGTGGGCATAGGAGACGGAAATGTTGAGAGTCTCCGGGTTAGGCTAAGAGGGATTCAAAACAAAGGTGATGTCATGCTAGGAGTCTACTACAGGCCACCTACCCAGGTGGAAGAAGTGGATGAGGCTTTTTTTAAACAACTCACAAAATCATCCAAAGCCCAAGATTTGGTGGTGATGGGGGACTTCAACTATCCAGATATATGTTGGGAAAATAACACTGCGGGGCACAGACTATCCAATAAGTTCTTGGACTGCATTGAGACAACTTTTTATTTCAGAAGATTGAAAAAGCTATCAGGGAGAAAGCTGGTTGAGAGTTTGAAAGTGGAAGGCAGGTTGGGTGAAAGTGATCATGAAATCATAGAGTTCACAATTCTAAGGAAAGGTAGAAGGGAGAACAGCAAAATAGAGACAATGGATTTCGGGAAGGCAGATTTTCGTAAGCTCAGAGAGCTGATAGGTAAGGCCCCATGGGAATCGAGACTGAGAAGAAAAACAACTGAAGAGTGTTGGCAGTTTTTCAAAGGGACATTGTTAAGGGCCCAAAAGCAAGCTATTCCGATGTGTCGGAAAGATAGAAAATATGGCAAAAGACCACCTTGGCTTAACCACGAGATCTTGAATGATCTAAAAATAAAAAAGGAGTCATAAAAAAAATTAGGACAAATTACAAAGGATGAATATAGGCAAACAGCACAGGAATGCAGGGGCAAGATTAGAAAGGCAAAGGCACAGAATGAGCTCAAACTAGCTACTGGAATAAAGGGAAACAAGAAGACATTTTATAAATACATTAGAAGCAAGAGGAGGACCAAGGAGAGGGTAGGCCCACTGCTCAGTGAAGAGGGAGAATCAGTAACAGGAAACTTGGAAATGGCAGAGATGCTCAGTGACTTCTTTGTTTCGGTCTTTACCGAGAAGTCTGTAGGAATGCCTAACATAGTGAATGCTA